TTCCTTTCTAAGAATTGATTGTTGGATGTGCTCCCGTGGAATGAATGAAGGAATGAATGAATGCTCCTGTGGGAAGGACCTTTGGGATTCATTCCTGTGTGTCTCTTGAAGGCCCTGACCCTCCCCCCACCAGTGACACAGCAGTACCCAGTCAGCAGGTGGGGTTAACTCACACTGGTGACTGTGTCCTTTAGAGAATTAGTTTCTAGAATTGCGTTTACCAGGTCTCCAGCATCTCCTGTCAGTTCAGTTCAGATTCTCCTTTGCATAAGATGCCATGTCATTTGGTGAGTTTCTCTTAAGATCATCTTCTAGGCTGAGGTGGAGAATTCTGAAGAAGGCAAGGGTAACCTTTCCAAAAGCCGTAACTCAAAAAGTATATCAGAAATCAGAGTAACTTGTCTTTATGAGAGTTAGAGTAAGTCATTAAAGAGGCTGAAGAAACAAGTAGTGAGGGCAAAGGGAATTGTCACTTGATCACCTACTGTGTGCCAAGCTCGTTAGATTTTTTTTTTTTTAATTCAGTAACCACACCAATCACACGAGGCAGAAATACTCCAGTTGGCATTTTGTGAATTTGTCTGTGTTTCCCCAGTGTATCGATCCATCTAGAATGAGATAAACCAATTTTCAAACGGGTGGAGGGACGATGAGACGAACCTTGCCGACAACTCCTAGGCTCATAATCACAAAAAGAACCTCATGCTGAGATTACAGGAGAGGTGTCTGCCTCCATCTTTTCCCTGTTCCCCTCTCTCGACAGTGTCTCTTTCCTTCTCTCCTTTGCACCTAAAATGCGCTTCTTCCCTCAGGAATCCCACGGCCTCCGCACCCTCCAGACATATCTCCGTACTACCCGCTGTCGCCCGGCACCGTGGGACAAATCCCCCATCCGCTAGGATGGTTAGTACCACAGTAAGGAGTTCCATTTTTTTAATTTCCTTTTTGTTTCTTACATGAGCATGCTTATTATTTATTCTGCGTGTGTGTGTGTGTGTGTGTGTGTGTGTGTGTGTGTGTGTGTTTTAGAACACAAGCTGGTAAGGGAGGACAATGGGAATTTGTGGGGGAAGGATCTTGCTGAGATGCCCTGTGGGAGAGCGGGCAAGCCAACGGCCGTTAAATGGGTTACGTAGGAGAAAGAACATTGATACGTAGCGTTCTGAACCCATGGTCCCCAGAGGTTCTAGGTTTCTCTCTGTGAAGGGAGGTGCCCTTAAGATACTTTGAGAATCGCAGAAGGCACTGAGGGCTTCTGTCCAATGAAACTGATCATAGCTCTTCTGCTGGCGGCAGCCCAGATGTGAGTGGCGGCAGTGGAGTGACCATGGGCACAACCTAGTTTTGAAGTCCAGGGGTGAGAGTCGGCGTTATTCTTTAACAACCCCACCACCCCATTACAACCGTGACTCCCAACAGTGGAAAGTTTTGTCTATTGAGAAGCTCCATGTTATTCAGCCAGCATCTCTTTCTGAGATTCTACATATTAAATGCTTGACCTAATTATGGGGTGGGGATGGGGCTTTCGAAAGCTAGACTTTCGGTCCAACATGTGGGGCCTTCATGTCGGCCCTAGCTCCCAGCAGCACCCAGATCATCTAACTGCCTTTTGTGATTTGCCTTCCAATCACCATGTCTTGGCTTTTACAGTACCACCCATTAACCTTTCCTAGATAACTTAAAAAAGTGTGTAGAAAGGCCTTTAATACCTAAACCATGTGTGTGTGTACGCGTGCATGTGTGTAATATGTTTTGTGATTGTGTGTTTTTTCGTGTATATTTTTCTGCGTGTTTATATATGATCTCTACTGTTTAAAAAATACAGGACAATTTGTTGAATCTCAACAGGAATAAATCTTGGTAAAACATTCAAACTTGGGTCTTGGAAAGACAGCCTTTCATAGCCTTAAGGAAGATATAATTTTGGAGCGGTTTCCCACCCCTCATTCTACCCTCATTTCTCCAGTTTAACAGATTCTACACTGTTTTTGTTTATTTGTTTGTTTGTTTGTTTTTAGAAACAGCTGTATTATGTAGTAGCTATACTAAATACCAACCCTGAGTATAGTTTCTGATTTTTTTTCCCCTTAGTTTTGTTTGGGAAGGTAGACATGGACTGTAGACATGAGCTTGAGTCCCATTTCCTCAAATCGTTCTCAGTCATCATTCGCCCCATTCAGCTCATGAGGAGATGTTTGAAGGCTACATAAAAAGACTCAGACTACCCTCTGTCAGAAAAAGTTGTGTGTCTTTTCTGAGGATGCTATTTTGCATGTTGCTGTATTTTTTAATTATTGTAATGAGGTGTGATTGTCTATTGGTTACCCACAATTCTTCTTGGGGACTCCCCCCCCACCCCACCCCCCGTAACTCTTGTCAACACTTGTTAATTTGACAAAAGGCTACAAATTAAGCTCTGTTAATTTAATGTTTTCTCACCGAGATCTAAATACCGAAAGAGGCCCAAAGCGCAACTGAAGTCCTTTGATTCACTGTACTTTATTTTGGTATAAATTTACATTCATTATTGTTTTCCTTTGGATGTGTAGCCCTCAATTAGTGTGATGGCTCCATTAAAGCAAGCGAGACTTCGCCTTTAATTATTACAACAAAACACCTAGTTTCAGCTTGGGGAGAGGGTCTCTATTGACATAAGCAGAGGTTATAAAATTTAATTAGCCATTCCTATCAGATTTATGGCATTCAAATTGTTCTGTGTTTCTTCCCTTTGATCCTTCCTGTACAATCCCCAAGATTTTTGTTCTGATCAAATGAGAATAAAGCTTACTGTGCAGAGTGAACTTCTCCTTTTTCTCTTTCTTTTCCCATCCCCCATCCCTGTTTGCACGCTCTCACTCTGTGCCCCGCTCTTTGTAGGCAAGGTCAGCCGGTGTACCCAATCACCACAGGAGGATTCCGTCACCCCTACCCCACAGCTCTGACGGTCAACGCTTCAATGTCCAGGTGAGTTCCAAGCACAGGGCCTTCTACCAAGGCCATGGTTGACTTCCAGAAAGTTCTCTATGTTGCTACCAGGTTATCCAGGGGCTGCTGATACATGCGAATATAATGGTATAAGACCCATAGAACATTACGCTTTCTTTCTGAGAAAATGCTGAAAAATTATCCTGAACTTCCCAGGTAGGGGATGGTGAAATTTCAGGGTCAAATTTTTGAGTCAGTCAATTGAACAGTATCTTTTGTGAGAGTTTAAGAAGGCAAGAAGTAGTAAGAACATTCAGAGCTTGTTCCAGTGTTGTTTCTCTGTTGCCCTGTACTGGATAAGGAAGGAAAGGGTGGAGGTAGTTTTATTATCATACAAAGAAGAGTTTGAGGAAAGGTTATCGGTCTTTTCAAAGCTCAGACTCGTCAGTGTCAGTAAGAAAGGACACCCCTCTAAAGTGTCACCTTTCAGTAGAAATATAAGATGAGTCACATGGAATTTTACATTTTCTAGCAGCCAGATTTAACAAAAGGTTTTTAAAAAAACTGGTGAAATTGTTTTTAATATTTATTCAACCCAATAGAGTCAAAATATTATCCTTCTGACATGCTGTCCCCGTTAAGCAACTATGAACAAGATTTTTACATTCCTTCTTACACTTAGTTTTTGAAATTTGATGTGCATTTCATACTTACAACACATCTCAGTTTGGACTGACCACATTTCAAGTGGTGGCTTACTACCACACTGGCCTGTGCAACTCTGAAACTTTGAAAGTTAAAAAAAAATCATGCGCGTGTAAACATTCGTGTGTCTTTCGGCATATAAGCACATATACACCATGCACACGTACACTTACTTCTGTGTGTGTACCTAGGTCTTTCTAACCCCCATGCTCTCCTTTTCCTCCTTCTAATTAATTCTGGCTAATTTTTCAGTGACTGCTAGTTTATTTACAAACTGGTTGGCAGCGGTATGTTTAAGTAGTCACTAATTGCTCCTAATGATAGTTTTATTTTCTGTTCATCTGATTTTCAGTCAAGTTAATTAAATCGGTGGAGGTTTAGACTTTCCTGATGGACTGCAACAACTAATCCATTTTGATGATGGCACATGATTCAATTAGCATGCATTACATGGCAAGGATGCTGACCCCCCCAATCTCTGTAGCCGCCATGGGAACCGAAGACCAGAGGAAGGGTTGGAAAGACAGGCCAAGATGCTTCTTTTTCTGCTTACAAAACAGTGATTTTGGTGGGGGAAGGAGTAAAGAATCACATTCCTTAAAAAGAACTATAACATATCTAACACCTGTAATTATGCCATGGATAGCCCACAGGTATCAAGATCCATTTCCCACATGTGATAAGTCATCTCAGTTCCCAAATCCACCCCAGCTTTGGTTAGGCAGGAGAGTGCTGTGTGTTCTCCATTGAGAAGAGGAAGGATATATTCATTAAATAATGTCCTCGCAGCATCGCCAAGCATGGGAACAAATGGAGAGTCTCCCAGGAGGAGAGCTGCTTCTGAGCAGCTTAGAATCCACAACTCATCCTCCCTCCATCCCAGCATTTATATAATGCACCTGATTGCTTTTCATGTTTGTTTATTTGGCGCATTCCAGAGGTTAAAAGCGGTGAAGTAATCACAGGATAGGGATTGGGGTTAAGCTTATTGATTGAATTATCATTAGGAGGTTAGTGGACGGTTTATAGGTGGGCCGAGAGGGGTGGAGGAAAGGAAGGGAAGGGTGGGTGGAAAGGTTAGGGGCTCCAGGTGCAGCGGGGGAGGCGGTGATTCCCCAGGTAGGCCTTATGAAAGGTAGCTAGTTAAAAAGCATATACAGCAAATTAAATACATTATTGTGGTAATGGGACGACAGAAGTATAGGTCTATTATACTTATGGCAGTTACAGGAAATGTAGGCAGCTTGCCCTGTTCCAGAACACCCTTTGATATTCATTCTATTCAGCAGTGGGGCCAGGACTTCTCAGAATTAAGTGATGGGTCATTATACTTTAAACACCATGGAGAAGCCTAGATTGGCAATTAAACAGCTCTTGCTGACACTCACTTGTGCCACCCTGTGACCCCCTTTAGATTGAGATGTTGGAGCTCCGGGCCCTCAGCCTGCTAAATTGGCGCAAGGCTCTTCTCCTGACGAGAGCGGGCTCTGAAATCTGCCGGCTTCAAAGGGAGAGAGATCATGTATAAACCATAATGTGGGTGCACCGTGGCTCACAAAAAATAAGGCAGGAAGAGATGAAATGTTACAAGTGCAAGGAGGAAAATGAGAGAATAATGACAAACCTAATGCAACTCAAAGCCAGATTGTTGCACAGGAAAATGCATCCTACTGCTTGTGCATAAAATCAAGGCCGGCAGATGACATCCAGTTAACAGAAACGTGTCAACAGTGAAGTAAAGTGAGAGTGAGTAAGAGAGAAGCCCCTGAGACAGCCAGAAACAAAAATTAGTTGTCCTTAACAAGTTAAGGTTCATCATTATATTCTGGCTTGGAGCCATAAAAGCAGACGGGGGTATATAATGAGCTGCTTAGAATTTTTAGGGTGTTTATTGCATTTCGTGAAACAGTTGTCTGCGGAAAGGAATTTCTTAAAGAAGGTATGCATATACCACCACCACCACCACCCCCCCCACACACACACACACAACACACAATCTTTCTCTGCTATACATTTTCCCGATACACAAGTATGCGTATAGGTATGTGAACTTGGAAGTGTTCGTTCTTCATGGCTGCACTGAAGAATTCTCCCACCCCACGATGCACTCAGACTGCGTTGTCTCCCTGTAGTATTTGGTGTGCACACATTCACACATACACTCACACACACAGGGTTTTTTATCTCGATCCCTCCCTCTCTCCCCCGCTTCTCCTACCCCTCCTTTCTCTCCCCCATCCATCCATCCATCCATCCGTCCATCTCTCTCATGTCAGTACACATATTCTCATTTTTTTTTGTATTTGAGGAATGTCAAGCCTTTAAAATTCACAGTAAAAGCTGCCACTCCACCCACCCCTTCACCAGGGGCTTCCAAGAACATATATTCTCAAGTTTCCTCGGAGGTCTTCCAGCAGTGGAAGGACCGGGGTGTAACTTGGGGGCCCAAGTGCCTCCCAGAGGTTTGCTTTCCATTTCTTTAGGGTTTAGGGGATAGAGGTTCTTTAGGTTTTTTTCTTTTATTCTCATATTCATTCATATTTTCTCTCTCAGAGGTTTTTTTTTTTTTAGTCCTAAAAGGGCTTGCTTAATTTTTATTAAATCATGTAATTTTTACCAACTTTTGATACTTTCATATTTGTAAAGGCAGAGGCAGAAGAAATTACATCGGGATGGAATTTCTGAGTCACGTGTCCACTGTGATTCTGGGCCTCTGTCAAAACTCTCTGGTCACTGGTTTTGTTGTATGTCGTTTTGCTTGAAGTCACAGAAACTGTTGATGACTTTGAGTGAGGACATCTTAGTCATTCCTTTAAGAAGGGTGGTTCTTCTAACCCAGTACAAATCAAGGTGACTGACTCCAGGCAGATTAGAAAATGTGAAAGCTGTTTGTCTAAGCTAATTGTCAGTTTACGGATGGACCAAGAGTGTTTTGAAATTATTTTGGTACGTCCCGGCTGGTTTTCGTGTTGGGAAATGCCAATTCAGGGCCTAAACAGTGTTTTAAAGGACTTTCCTAAAATTACACAGATTAGTGGAGACAGCACAAACTTTATTTACCTTTATTTACATCCTTGATAATCATCTTGAAGGCCTTTTAATGCATAGGTAGTATGTTAAGTAAAAGTTATTTAGGAATTCTAGAACTTTAAAGCAGCAAAGGGAACATAAATCAGAATTCAAATCTTTACCTGTGTGTGTAAAATAGTACCTTTTTTTGCATCTTGTTTAAAATATCTATGACTTCTGATGAGAACCACATAGGAAGTACTTAGATTTTCCGCATCTTTCTACCTTAACTCTCTCCCATTCCTGTCAAAACGACGGGGCACAGCAGCCAAAAAATAAACATTTCATTGCACCGTACCAACAGAATGAGGCCTAACGAGGCATGTGCAGCATTGTCAAAAACGTGTGTATACTTCAGCCACATTAATATTTTACGTAGTCGTCGATGATATACAACAAAAGATTTCACCTTTCTTTCTAGAGCTGATTAGGACTTAGGAAATTGCCTTCTTAGATGCCAAAATAATGCCTCAAAAAACAAGTGGATGTGTGATTTCCAGCAGGTAGTCCAAGCCTACTTTTCCGCCCAAGTACATCAGTTAAATTTGTCTTTTGCTAAAGATGTTAAAAATCGTAATGTCTCATGTCAGTAACAATAATGAAGGGGAAGATTGGCTTTAATGACATTATGAGAATCATTATGTTTAATTTATCGCTAATTAATGCTGACAGGTTTCATATGCCTTGGGTTGCTTTCATGTGAACATTACGTGTTTTTTTTTTTTTTTTTTTTTTTTTTTTTGAATTGTGTGTACGCATCCCTCCCCATTCATTCATTTTGATTCTGACGATTTACACAGCTTTCTGTCTTCTAGGTTCCCTCCCCATATGGTCCCACCACATCACACTCTACATACGACCGGCATCCCCCACCCGGCCATAGTCACACCAACAGTCAAACAGGAATCCTCCCAGAGTGACGTCGGCTCACTCCACAGCTCGTAAGTGTTGCTCTTGTGATCACTTTCCCCTTTGCCATCGTGTTTAGTTCATCATCGCTGGCACAGTGGCTGTCGGGTTGGTGGCTCTGCCTCGGGTTCTCTGCGCTGCCTGTGGCTCTGGCAAATACTCCATGTGTGTGGACTCTGGATCTTGCAGACAGGCTTTCACAGAGGGTGCCTGCTTTGGGTAGACGAGCACTCCTATTTTTGTGTCCTTGAATGGACTGGGCTTTACAGTCATGATTCTGTCCCTAACCCCATCATCGAGCATTTGACGCTCTATCTCATGAGCATGAGACTGGCCGAGGTAGAAAGGGCCACAGGTGATTTGCCCTCTGGCCTGGGAAAACTGTGTATTTGTGAAACAAGGAAGTGATTACAAAGTCGCCTCTCTTCCCCTAGTCCCTCCCCAGGCTGTTTTTGTTCCATTTTCCAGGGTGGAGAAGACCAAAAGTGGAAGCGTGCTTTTCATTCAAACTGCTGGGTTTGGGTGTTGGGAAACCAAGGAGAATGGGCTCTTTGCTGTGGAGGAAGTTGGCCCTCATGATCGTTTATTGGGTTGGGTCTGTCTGTTTTGTCTACATCCAGAAAGCATCAGGACTCCAAAAAGGAAGAAGAAAAGAAGAAGCCCCACATAAAGAAACCTCTTAACGCGTTCATGTTGTATATGAAGGAAATGAGAGCAAAGGTCGTCGCCGAGTGCACGTTGAAAGAAAGCGCGGCTATCAACCAGATCCTGGGGCGAAGGGTAGGTGGTTCTCTCCCTGGGAGAAGAGGGTGAGAATGGACTAGGATGCAGCAGGTGAGGTGACAGAATGTCCCCGTCCTCGTTTGCGTGGAGAGGCCTTTCGCGTTAGCTACGTTGTGACCCCTTCAGTGGCTTTCATGGGGTCAGGACCAATGACCGCATTCGACTGACGTACAGAAAAGCCAAAGCCATCATCTTCCCCATCCCCAGAGAGAGAACAGATGATAAAACGGCATAGACGACAATTCATGTTTTGTCTGAGCACTCCTGTTAGTGCCAGGACCCTTCAGACTGTCAGCATGTGCAGGTTATATCATTTCTGATGGACTCATCCAAAACGAGAAGCGTTATGTACCCCCTGGCCGCAGTGTAGCTTGTGATGCTTTTGCGTGTCTTTTCCCTCCCCCTCCCTTTCTTGTTCCCTCCAGTGGCACGCACTGTCTAGAGAAGAACAAGCAAAATACTACGAGCTGGCCCGGAAGGAGCGACAGCTTCACATGCAGCTGTACCCTGGCTGGTCTGCACGGGATAACTACGTAGGTGGATCATTTTTCTCAGGACTGTAGACATGTGCTGGTTGTCCATATGGACAAAGGGAATGCTAACTGCCACCTCGTATTAGGCCTCGGAACCATTCAGTCTGCCTGCCCTTGAGACTTTTAGCATCTTGTCCGAGCATCAGGCGTGAGGGTCTTGTCTTGGCCTCCAGTGTGGCTCCATCAGCATAGTTTTTCAGGGGGAAGCTGCCATTCCAGCTCAGGACCCATGAGGTCAGTTTAGGGCTGTCCATATCTTCTTGCCTGTGTCTTTGAAGGGCTCTAGGATATGCCCAGTGGGTCTTATGTGCTCCTCAACAGTGGTCTGTAGAGTGGCCTTACAGAGAAGTGGGTAGGGCTGGAAGGAGGAATTTAATTCCTCACAGGTCTTCCAGCAGGGGCTTCACCACCCTTAAGAGGAACAAATGAAACAGTTGTCTTATGCTGTGGTACAATAGAATTTGGAAGCCTAGTTCATCTTGAGAGGGGCATGATGGGAATATCCCTGAAAGGAGCCAGTAGAAGTCATGTTTTGGCAGGGACTCAGCAAGGGTAGGACGAGAGGGTGTGTATTATGTGCTGTGTGTGTTCCTGGGCTCTGTTGGTTTCAAGATTTACCTAATTTCACATCCTGGGTTTTAGAAAACACTGCAGGATTGCTGTTTTTACTAATTGCGGTGGTTGTGACATCCATGATTCTTCCCCTCCCATAAACTAGGTCTCCTGGAGACCTCTGTCACCTCTATCATTCTTTCTTATTCTCCATTTTGCTCAATAGCTCAAGTCCTGAACTCTCTCTCCTTTCTAGATGGATGAAATATTTCTTATTTGCCCAATACCTTATTATATAGCTTTGGTTCTGTGAAGTGATTTTACCATCTGCTTTGGTGTGGGAAGCAGACTTGACTTAATGCCAGCAACAGGCTTCTCCTGTTTCTTGTTGGTATCGTGGGGTCACAGATGATGTTTTCACCAGTCAGTGCTCCCTGACCTAACTCTCCATGGACGTCATCCATGGTGAGGAAATGTTCTGTATAGGAGGGTTGAGATCTATTCAGTTATTGCTGATTTTAAACTTAACTGTATATACCGTATTATGGGGGTTCAGAGTTAAATCAGACATATTTACTCTCCCGGAACTTGCCAGCCATCAGGAAGTCACAACTATCTTCAGGAACGTGTGGGTCCTGAGTGAAGTCTGACTTCGCTCGCTCTGACTAGCTGCTTCAGGTTTCCTCCCTTCTTAGTCCCGTGCCTTTAAACATGAGCCCGCTAGTTTCCTCTTTGCCGTGTGGAGGAGGGAGAGTGGACAACCAAGACCATGGAGCTTAACTCCCATGTCGTCATCACCACCAGCCCCCCAGCCCCGCTCCTCCCTGCCCACCCACCCATCTCCCTCTAGGTCCCACCGCTCTTGGCTCCCAGCACTAGACTCTCTTCCTCCTGGGAGTTGAAACCGGAATTAGCGTTAGTATTTTTCAATGGCATGGTGGCTCTGCTCAGAGCCCTTGTCACTCACCGATGGTCATGCACAGGGTCGTAACTGCTCGGGATCTTTTCGTTTGTCCCCAGCATGTGTGCAACGGGGAAGCCTTTCTTCTGGAGCTGAAAGGAGGAGGATGAGAAAGTTAACTGCTCTCCCACAGGCTCGCTGCTCACCGCCCCCGACCTCGAGGTGGCGCTTTCCGGCAGCAGGCAGGCCCTGCCGCCTCCCTTATGGTCTCTCATTCCAGGACAGCTGTTCTCCTGGTTTTGGGTCAGAAGTTCTTAGAGTTCCTGTCTAGCTTCTGCCTGCTACAGACCTGATTCTTTGGATAATCAGAGAGGAATCCGGCTACTCTCTAGATGTTGTATCCCCTGTAGGCATGTGGGGTCATAGCAGGGCCTTCGTGTCCAGCCGTGCAAGGTGTGCACTGCACAACTCTAGGGAGGTGTTTATAATATGGTCTGTGAGCATGGTACCCCCGGAGTTTGCAGGGGGAAGTCTCCACAAAGGTGCGAGGCCGACTCTGCGATAGCTTCCAAAAGGTGCTGTGATTATTTACTTGGAGTCGGTGTTTTCCAAGTCTTTTTTTGTCTTGCTCTTGAGGTTTTAGCAGGTCCATGAGGCACTTGGAATGGGGTTTGTATAATAGGGGAACCTCTGATAAGAGGAGAGAAAATTTAGAGGTAGATCTGGATTTGAGGCTATAGGAGCTTTATCTCTTACAAGGGGTACTGTCAGATTCCTGTCACGACGGCTCATTACTCATGGGTATGAACACCTTTCCTTCCTTCCTTCCTTCCTCCCTCCCTTCCTCCCATCCATCGTTCCATCCATCCTTCCATCCATCCATCCATGCATCCATCCATGCCCCAGGAAACAGTCTATGGAGCAACAATCAATAGTTAAATTTTTATACATTTGATTATGGTAAAAACTTGTTAGTATTTTTTTTTAATTGACTTGACATTGAAGTTTCTCTGTAAATTACTTTGGTCATTGTAAAGTCCAAGAGGTTCTTCTGGAAAAAGTCTTTTTGAGCTAACCTCAAGCCTCTTTCACTTTCCACTTTTCCAGCCAACTGGTGGCAGAAATCTTTAGCAGTCACATTTGGGTTGTTGGATTTGGCACATCCTGGAGCACAAGAGGAAACATTTTCGTCCCATAGTGACATCTAACCCCTGGCATTGTATTAGAACATGATTTTCTTTCCAGCTCTACGATGGGTAAAGAAGCTAAATCCTAGGCCATTTGCTCATCTTGAGTTTTTTCCCCCTTACCACCATACTTTAGGCCTTTTCTTTGTTTTGTCAAATTTAAAGAGATAACGGGGATGTCTGCCTCCCTTGAGATGCACCTCCCTCTTCACTAAGTAGCATTTGTTAAGTTCCTTCATGTCTTCTTCTGATTAAAACACAGCCCCTGCCCTTAAGAAGCCCTTAGTCTAAATGATCATTCCGTCAGTCACTAACATCTCAGTTATCTGTCCTAAACTGACAGCTTCCCATGGGTAGTGGACTTTTCATCTGCCTTTTAGAATATATTGCAGGAGATTGGAAATGGGTGAACGCTATATTAAAGGTGATGAGAAGCCCTTGAGTATGTGGATGTTGACACCACTGTGCCCAGCTGAGTTTTTACCTCATGCTCCTGAATAAACAAAGTAGATCCTCTGCCTGTTCCAAGGTGGCCAGATGGCACTTTTGGTCCTTACCTTCATGTCTGAGGGTCACAGACATGAAGATGGGCTGCTGAGGTTCATGAGAAGGAAGTGAACTTCCTTCCTTCCTTCTTTCCCTCCTTCCTTCCTTCCTTTTTCCAGAAGAACCTCTTGGACTTTACAATGACCATCCGTCATTGTACATCTAGGAACATAAAATGTTTCAAATGGAAATACTGAACCGAAGACTGAGACAAATTCTCCAAGTGGATCAGGCCCCAAGATCTGAGAGAAAAGAGGGGCTTTCTCTGAAACAGTTGACTGTTAGCCCTCGGATAGAGCTCATACTGTGCAGTCTCTACCTTGAGTCTCTCCTCACAAGGCTTTATGGGTTCTCAGGTTTTCTGCCTATCACTGCTCTTTTCACTTCTGGAGTCGATGTCAACACACCATGACAACCTTTAGGCAAAGGTGATATTGAGATATTCTGAAACAAACAGAAGTGTGAGACCACGCCTCCTGTTTGTGACATTTCACATGGACCAGGCAGCTACCTCATATGGGTAGGACAGGCAGGCACTGTGAGGTGGAGGATGGAGAAGGAGTTTTAGATCTGGAACGAGGCAGTCAACTCTACAGAATTCGCCCTGTGCCCCTTCTACATCCACAGCCATGGGAAGACTGTCCAGCTGTCAAGGAGGATCAGGTTGGAGAATGTGAATGACTCCATGCAGTTCATCCATAATCTGTTAAAAACCTTCCTCAGAGGGCAAGGCATTAACCACGTAGGCAGCACAGCTTAGCGCATGAGGGCTCTTGGAATCAAGACCACCTGAGTTCCCATCCTGGTCTCACCATTTGTTAGCTCTGTGATCTCAGAAAGGTTATGTAACCTCTCTGTGCCTCTGTCTCCTTATCCGTAAAATTGGAATGGTGATAATACCTGTTGTATAGGATCGCTAAAACCTTTCTGGATGTTTCTACACATCCTGTGGGAATTTTCATGCATGGAGCCAGCACACAGTTGAGTTCTTACCCTTCTCCCTCCCTCTCTCTCTCCCTCCTCTCATCCTTCCTTCCTTCCTTCCTTCCTTCCTTCCATCCTTCCTTCCTTCCTTCCTTCCTTCCTTCCTTCCTTCTTTCCCTCCTTCCTTCCTTCCTTTTTCCAGAAGAACCTCTTGGACTTTACAATGACCATCCGTCATTGTACATCTAGGAACATAAAATGTTTCAAATGGAAATACTGAACCGAAGACTGAGACAAATTCTCCAAGTGGATCAGGCCCCAAGATCTGAGAGAAAAGAGGGGCTTTCTCTGAAACAGTTGACTGTTAGCCCTCGGATAGAGCTCATACTGTGCAGTCTCTACCTTGAGTCTCTCCTCACAAGGCTTTATGGGTTCTCAGGTTTTCTGCCTATCACTGCTCTTTTCACTTCTGGAGTCGATGTCAACACACCATGACAACCTTTAGGCAAAGGTGATATTGAGATATTCTGAAACAAACAGAAGTGTGAGACCACGCCTCCTGTTTGTGACATTTCACATGGACCAGGCAGCTACCTCATATGGGTAGGACAGGCAGGCACTGTGAGGTGGAGGATGGAGAAGGAGTTTTAGATCTGGAACGAGGCAGTCAACTCTACAGAATTCGCCCTGTGCCCCTTCTACATCCACAGCCATGGGAAGACTGTCCAGCTGTCAAGGAGGATCAGGTTGGAGAATGTGAATGACTCCATGCAGTTCATCCATAATCTGTTAAAAACCTTCCTCAGAGGGCAAGGCATTAACCACGTAGGCAGCACAGCTTAGCGCATGAGGGCTCTTGGAATCAAGACCACCTGAGTTCCCATCCTGGTCTCACCATTTGTTAGCTCTGTGATCTCAGAAAGGTTATGTAACCTCTCTGTGCCTCTGTCTCCTTATCCGTAAAATTGGAATGGTGATAATACCTGTTGTATAGGATCGTGTAAGGATAAATGCATCCATATGCATGGCACACTTAGAATCATGCCCGGCGCATAGTATGTGCTCAGTAAATATTAGCTGTTATTACTAGGATTATGATAATCATTATATATTAGATGGGACTATAGAGAACCTTTACTCTTTTATGGATGTCCACTCAGCAGTTTTAAACAAGAGCGGATGATTTCTGGTTCTCTTCTGCCTTTTCTTATTCCCCTGCTGTCTTTTAAAAGCAAGGCCCAGATTACAGCTCTAAAAAAAAAAATCCTACTTAAGCATTTAATTTTTGATTCAAAATAAGGACCTTTTGGCCTTAATAAGAGATTTGCATGGGGCGAGGAGATTTTGAGTCCACATAGCCGTTTCAACATCGATCCATCCTGTGGCCGTGGACCCTTGCGCCACTTCAGCCCTGTGTCTACTCACCTCCTGCATCTTCCTCATCCATCTTCTCTTCACCTGTGTGGAATCAGATGCTCTGGGTCAGGTTCAAGGACTGACATAGGTGTGTGGGAAAGAGGTCTTTCCTTCACCCCCCTTTGATTCCTCCTTTTCCCCTGCCGATTGGTTGTCCCTCCAGCTGAAGGACAGTTCATTTGGACATTTGGATTAAAGGGCGCTAGGGGCTGGAAAACACTCAAGAAGCAGGTGTGGATGAAGGGAGTAGGGTGCGCCTCTCCTCCCGCCTTCTCATTTCCCTTTGTTTTATTGAAATAATTCCCTGTGTTTTATTTGTTCCTCTAGGGGAAGAAGAAGAAGAGGAAAAGGGACAAGCAGCCAGGGGAGACCAACGGTAAGTTAGAATAATGAGGGTGCAGGAAGGAGCCATACTCTTTTGAGGACCACTGTTTGATATTAGGCTTCTATCTGGGGGAGGCAGGAGAAACTCAAGGCCAGGACATTGTGGGGGAACCCATCTTAGCTAGCCTTTTTGTTTATGCATTTTAATTAATTGCTTCATGATTGCCCTTTTAAAGCTAGTAACGTTCATTGTTGCATGAAAAGCACATTGTAATTCTAGTGGAATGTGTTTTTAAATAACTGTAGAGCCTGTAACTGGAGAGCCGGAGGCATGCCTATGTGGGATTTATATACAGTTTGCTTATTCTGTATGTGTCTGAGTAGGGATGAGGAGGGGGCTAGGGGAGTAGGAGGGGTGTATGTGAGTGTTTGGCATTAACTGGGCTGTTCCTGAATGTTCTGATGCATGCCTTTACAGTGGTAAATTGCACCCAACTTAAATTAAGGAGGTTTGTCATTCTCTAGAAGAAATTAGAAATACTGCATAGGCAATCTCAGAGGTCCCTTGGAGAAGGCCAGGCTTTTACAAACAACAACAAAAACATTTTGAAGGCTTTGTATAATTTGTTCTTTTTTTTCAGAACACAGCGAATGTTTCCTAAATCCTTGCCTTTCACTTCCTCCGATTACAGGTGCTAATGTCATTTTGAGTCGTTAAAATAGTTGCTAAACTGTTTTTTAATTTTTCTTGCCATTATAGTTTGATTAACATTAATCACGTATGACATTTGAACATTCTTTAAAATGACCATCTACACGGTTTCGTATGTTTCGGTAGATTTTTTTTCAGTTGCTTTTGTTGTTTTTTTGAATTTAATTTAACTTTTGCTTTGTTTATTTATTTATTTTTTCCATAACAGTTGTTTAAGCAGTGATGACAGTGATTTAGAGTTGAACTAACTGTGCAAATTGAATATGCAGTATTTCTTTAAAAGAGACTGGTAAAAAAAAATGGAAGGAATTCGGTAATAAACCTCCTTAATCTAATGGCATTTTTTTCATTGCTCCCACTAAGTTTTCTCACGCAAGCATGCATCCGCAGTATGATTATTTTTTTCCTTCGCTTTTTTTATTTTAGTTTTTTTCTTCCTTTTGCTTTTCTGCTCATAATTTGCAAACTCACTAGCATTTTACTGACTGTACCTGCTTAAATGCTGCTATGAGCTTCTAACTAACTCTTAACAGCTCATTCACACAGCCTGTTTACTTTTATCTGTTCCTCTCTTAATTTTAATGAAAATAGATTTAAAAAGAAAGATGAACGTTCCAAAAGCTGCAATATCCCAGTACCCACAACCCTTTTCTTTCTTTATTTCTTTCTGTTTTTGTTTCATTTTGTTCTGTTTTTATTTGTAGTTTTTTTTTCTTTTTTAAACTATTATACTCTGAGAAGAAAAAAGCATGTTACAAACTTAATTCCCTCCTTTGCTTTATTTTCTTCTTTAAGAAAAACAAATTGAAAGAAAAAAAAAGGAAACCAGAACCAAAACAGGAGAAATATTATTTCCAAGCTAGTTCTTCAGTATCTAACTTCCCTTTATCAGCTCAAACCGAATCTGAGAGACAGTCCTTAACGAAGGGATACTGCAGCTTTATTTGCAACAGCTAATTTCACAAGTTGAATAAGAATGTGATTTTTTTTTTTACCTTTTTTTTTAATTAAAGAAAGTTAAAAATCAAAAGTCAATATTTTGTAATTAGTAACCAGGTCATTGATTTATTCCCTTTTTTATTTTTATTTTTTTCTTATTTGTATCTTTCTCTTTTTTCTTCTCTCCCTCCCTCCCTTCCTTCCTCCCTCCTTCTCTCTCTCTGCCTCCCTCCTTCTCTCTCTCTCTCTTTCTCTCTCTCTCTCTCTCTCTTTCTCTCTCTCTCACTCACTCTCTCTCTCTCTTTCTCTCTCTCTCTCTCTCTTTCTCCCTCCCCTTCTCTCTCTCTTTCCTCCCTCTTTCCCACGTCCTCCTCCTCTGCTCGCTTCTCTCTTGAACTCATTCAGACCTGAGCGCTCCTAAGAAATGCCGAGCGCGCTTTGGCCTTGATCAACAGAATAACTGGTGCGGCCCTTGCAGGTGTGTATAGATTTCCCAGATTCGCTGTGCTGGTTTGCAGCTGGTCTATTTGATCCTTTCCCCTTCTCTGGCCTGTCGCTTTGTAGCTCTGTGTGTGGATCTTAGGAGACACGAGGGCGCGGGACACTGCTCTGTGAGGGTTGTGCTTGTTCCCCCGCTGCTGCTAGCCAAAATGCCACTGTAAAACAGCATCATTTGTGCCTCCTCGGGTCAGCGACAGCAAACCCCAGCGCGCCCCCCCAGGGATGCTACCTGCCATCCCTCTTCCTCATGACAGCCCAGGGTGGGGCTCAATGACATCCTTCGCAACCCTGGCCTAGGTAGCCGCAAACAACGTCACCTTTCCCCCTCCTCTTCTCTCTCTATTTTTATTTATTTTTCCTTGTTTTTTGGTTTCTGGTTGTTGTTTTTTGTGTGTGTGTTTTATCATTTTATTTTATTTTTTTCTTTTGACTCATAGAAGTCCTTTCCTTTCATGCCCTTGGTGAGGGAAGACAATCAAATAGAACCGAGGTGATCTAGAAGACAAGTCAGCTGTAGCTGAGATTTCACATCCAACTGAGCACAACCCACCATTGTGTTGTATTTTTTGTGTTTACCTTATGCTAACAGATGCAAATACTCCAAAGAAGTGTCGGGCACTGTTCGGGCTTGACCGACAGACTTTATGGTGCAAACCATGCAGGTATATTACCACTGCGAGGCCTTTGGGAAAATCAAAACATTCTGTCCTTCTGGTACCTTAGTGTGTCAATATATTTTGACCCCATTCCCATCTACTCCCGCACTGACATCAATGACTAATGATCCTCATTCTTCGAAATTTCCTTGCTAATTTTATGCTGAGTCCTCTCCCCACTTTCTCTTTCTGCCCCCGCCCCACTCTTACAAATAATATAACCCTGGTGGTAGGGCCGAGACCACAACCCTAACAGACCAGAACGGGCACTTACCCTTTTGCTTTGAAAACCAGCATCCTAGAACTGGCCCAGCCCCATGAATACTTCCGTGGCCTGTATGCCGAGTGCAGAGACCACCACTTCCAAAGGTTTGAATGAGCTAAAATTGATAGCAGTAGCATTCCCGTGTAACTCGAAGTCAAGACTTGGAGAAGTGCTCTGGGGCAGGCTTTTTTTGGTTTTGTTTTGTTTTTTTTTGATTTTTTTTGTTTGTTTGTTTTATGTTTAAAAACCACATCTCTATACAGAGGAGCTTGGTTAGCTGACATTGTTTTACAGTGCGGAAAAGAAGCGTGGCATTGAACGGCATGCACCAGCTAGAGGGCTGCAAGCAGTGAGTCATGCAGTCGCATACTGCAGGGCTGCTAGCCTGCAGAATGAAAAATATACGCATCTGCATTTAGAGAGAGAGCAAGAGAGACCGTTGGTTCTAAGATGTGTCAGAAGGGTCCAAATTAAACACCCGGGTTCCCCCTGCAGGCTTCCGTCCAACCTGTAATTTCAGGGAAGGCGTAGGTACTTCCTTCTTGGTGGAGGGATACCAACTAGTTCCTGTCTCATTTCCTTTCCTTTAATGAGCACCTTTGGTTAAATTTGTTGTTTCTTTGTTCTGATACAAGCAGTCTTTGAATTTGGAATATTATGATGGTAGGTATCTCAATACCCAAACACGCTTTTCTGTTTGTAGTGCCTCCCTTGTCACGTGTCCCTCTCTTCCATGCCTTTGCCATGTGTTCCGTGTTTAGACGTTAGATCAGATGTCCATCCCATTATGTGCATGCCCACGACTCTCCGTGTCTCTTCCCCCTGCTCTGATGCCTTACAAGAGATTGAAGTGCCTCGCATTGACCACGCCTGTAGGGGAGAGAGGGCCTGAGAGTCTTGATTGAGAGGGACTCCCCACACGACCCTCTGCCCATTATGTGAGGATGGGGGGCCTCGGGTGAACACCCAGCAGGAGAGGGATTCTCAGTCATTCTTCCAGGTGGCAGTGTTCACGGAGGTGACAGATGTCCTTCCCACACAGTCCCGGGGTCTTCTCTGTGCAACAGAAAAGAGTTTCATGATGAAGTTAACGAAAGATGTTAGGTATTTAATTAGAGCTAGCCCAGATGACAGGAACTCTGTTTGACCTAGCTATCTAGGCAGTGAATTCATGTCAGAATTTTATTTGTGCTGAGTAGGAAGATAAGTAGCTGAGGAATCCTGCTCTAAGACGCCCTGCCTTGGCCAAGGATGAGCTAATCACAGGGTCTCTTCCGAGGGTTTCTCACCATCTGTAGGAATGTATGGCTGACACCATTGTGCATACCTCGCAGTATGGTTTGTTGCCTGGTTTGTGTATTTTATTCATAGGAGGTGAGTGGTGGTTTTATGAATCCCTTTTTTGTTTTGGAAGCAGTTACTGCGAGTTAGACTTGGCATTTTTTTGGTGAAAGTTATCATTAGTAACGCCAACTGGATGGAGGTCCCCTTCCCAGACACAGCCCACACCTTGCTAAAGCCAGGGCGTGACATCTTCCTCAGAGACTAGAATTTTCAGGACATTTTTACCAAAAACAAAAACAACCAAAAACCTTTGTAGCTGCGACATAAACTTCATTTCATAAAGTGCAGCGTTGAGCGGCTCGCTGTCAACGTGACGGCATTGCTGTCGTGGGTGCTGAGAGGTCCCTCCTCAGGAAGAGGTCCCTCTTCCTCACCTCAGCACCATGAGAAGCTTCCTGGTGGCCATTTTTTCTACCGTTGGGGGATATTTTGCCCTAAACGCTTTTTAGCAGGTGGATTTCTGTTCTTGTGAGGGTATAAATCCAAAACAGGGTCAGGAAGAATGAGTCACCTTTTAGGACAAACCCATATGAACCTGAAAGTGGGTTCGTAAGAGGCCACCGCTCCTCGATTGGAGATGGAACCTGGGTGGGGGAGGGCAAGGAGGGGGGTTTTGTCCCTTTTTTCTTCAACTTTTTCTCTTGGCCAGGATCTGGCTTGATGCTAAATCAATAGGATAAAATGCACTTTAAGAAAAAGAAAGAAAAGTGGCCAAACGAGCCGTTTCCTGGGCCGTCAGAAGTGTGTGTGTGTGTCCAACTGCCTTTGGCTCAGCCTCCTGTTAGAAGGAGCGTCGCTTTCCCATTCATAGTCTTCGTGTCCCGTGTTCATGATGCCTCCGCTCATCCCCACAACATGGAAACTTCCGTGTCACAAGGAGGGCGGGAGGGGCGAGGGGAGCCCCAGAAAGGCTCCTAGCCAATCAGGGCTCCTCGCTCACTACACAAGGCTTCTAATTTTATTTGACATTTGAGGACATTTTTAACAAGATTCTGTTTTGAGCCCACCAAGTTGCTTTTCCCATCTTTTCACTCTGCCCTAATATAGCATGGAATGCTGCTGATGTCATTCCCTTGTTTCCTGTTTTTTTCCCCTTTCTCTCTTTCTCCTCTCTCATTTCTCCCCGTTGCTTTCTCCGTTTTGCTTATGCCTCCCCACCCCCTCCCTTCTCCCATTTTCAAAATGCATGGACATTTAGGTTTTTTTTTTTTTTTAGCATGTTTTGATCTGCAGGCTAAGGTGGTTTAAAAACTCTGAGAGGCTTGTTTCCCCTGGGTTTCTGTGATGGGAGCAGAACCCACAGTCAAATAATCTATCCCAGAGGAGAGAAAGGAACCATGTCAATGTGAAGGTGAGGGGGGCTGCCCTCACTCTGCTCCCCTAGAGTTCCTTCCAACTCAGAGAGGGGACGGACAGACCCTGAGGCCACCGGCCCAATGGGTCCTAGCCTCTGGGAGGCGGGAAAGACCAAGCATGCCTCTCCCACCCTCCCCTCCCCTCCCCTCTCCTGCCATCTTGCTGAATCCATACCCCACACACTCGGGGGCATGATCAGACAGCTCTGGGGCACAGACCCAAGGAGGAACTAATTACACCCCCTTCCTTTCAAAGGCCAGTGACATCTGACAGTGGTTGCCTTCAAACAGGCAGCATCTTAGTTGCTTTCTAGCGAGGAAAAGCCAGCCGGTGCTTACACACTTGTTTTTAGATGGAGTGGTATCAGCCATGGTTCTGACTGTGTTCTCCTTAGATCAGCACATTCCCTGTATCTGCATTATTTTTATAGCATAGATGGAGTTGGTCCCCAGTATCACCTTTCCTACCAAATATTATCCCGCTGGACTGGGATTCAGAAGAGGAGAAGCTTTGAGGTCACATACTCAGTTTCTTGAATTGATTTCCCCAACCTTTGATGATAGGCAAGAGAGGCTCTGAAATTCTCATTCCTACTTCTTACATAAACAGGAAATGGAGAGGGGAGATTCCGGTTTTGGTACAGGGCAGAATTAGTCTTTGTGGTTTCAACACTAGTCAGGCTAACCCAAACCCAGGAAGGTCCATGCTGCAATCCCGTCACTTCTTCGTCGTCGTCACTCCCTTGTGACATGCCGTGCCCTCCATTCACTGGCCTCGCCATATTGACAAGGGCAGGAAGCCCCGCCATGCCATCCTCACCGTCTTTCCTTTCCAGCCTTCTCACTCTGGGGTGGGGGAGGGGAAGACCCCAAATCTTTTTTTTCAAAAAAAAAGAAAAAAGAAAAAAGAAAAATCAAGTCTGAATCATAATTTAATCCACAACCTGCAGGCCATACGACCAGTTATTCTTGTTTCTTTGGATCATTTTCTGTTTTTCTTATTCTTCCCCCTCCCCCACCTTTGTTATCTTCTTCTACCTGTTTTTGGTGGTTTTTTCTTTTTTTTCGTTTTTGTTTTTGTTTTGTTTTTAAGTTTATTTTGTTTTATTTTTGTTTCCCTCCTCCTCTCACCTGATTCTGACCTCTTGATTTGGTGTGGTTCTTAACAGACAAGCCCGAAAGCTCTCTGGGCACCAGCAGCCTGGTGGTGATGGTGGTGGTGGTGGTGGTGGGTGGTGGTGGTGGTGGTGATGGTGATGGTGTGTTGAAACCTTTAAGCCTCTTGCTAGCGCTGTCTTCAGCTCTGTGGGCTCAATAGTCAGCATTTTGAGTTTTATATTCATAGGAGGTGCCTGGGGAAGGAGGGCTCTGTCTTTCTCTTTTACACACACACACACACACACACACACACCATTGGGGGTGGGGGTGGGATGGGGGTGGGAATGGGGGAGGTATGATAGGAAAGTGAGGGGACATCTAAGCCGAAGAGAAATAACCAGTTTTTCAGTTCATCTCAGTTTGCATGCAGCCACTTTCTGGCAAAGAGATGCCACCACCTACAGGTGGCATCCTTGAGTCTGCTCACTTACCTTTGGGCAGAGGCGGGGTCTAGGGTGTGGAGTGGGGCAGGGGAAGCAGATACGGAGGGAGTGCCGTACTCGTGACGATTTCGTTCGCCAGAGCAGGCTTAGGTTGGGCAGCAGTAAAGTGAGCGTGGCGCCCCGGTGTGATTTTAATATTCCTCTGGCCAGTGGGCGTGCCGTCTCCATGGGGTGGGGGCAGTGGCGGCATCTGTTAGGCGACTTCATCTTGACTCTGAGCATTAGATAACTCTCTCCCTTGGCACCTTTGCCCTTTATTCACAGAAACTCTCTCCCCTGTTTCTAGGAGAAAAAAAAAGTGCGTTCGCTACATACAAGGTGAAGGCAGCTGCCTCAGCCCACCCTCTTCAGATGGAAGCTTACTAGACTCGCCTCCTCCTTCCCCCAGCCTGCTAGGCTCCCCTCCCCAAGACGCCAAGTCACAGACTGAGCAGACCCAGCCTCTCTCGCTGTCCCTGAAGCCCGACCCCCTGGCCCACCTCTCTATGATGCCTCCACCACCTGCCCTCCTGCTTGCCGAGGCCGCCCACGGCAAGGCCCCCGCCCTCTGTCCCAACGGGGCCCTGGACCTGCCTCCTGCCGCTTTGCAGCCGCCCATCATGCCCTCCTCATCTGTCGCACAGCCGTCAACATCTTCCTTACATTCCCTCAGCTCTCTGGCCGGGGCCCAGCCCCAGCCGCTCTCCCTCGTAACCAAGTCTTTAGAATAGCTTTAGCTTCGTTCGCCCCAGTTGGTTTGTGTAGTGTTTCATTTTGCTTTTCTTTATTTCCCCTCCCTTCGAAAGGTTTGGTTTTGTACTCTTTTAATTTTGTGCCATGTGGCTACATTAGTTAATGTTTATCAAGTTCATTGGTCAATATTTGACCCATTCTTATTTCAATTTCTCCTTTTAAATATGTAGATGAGAGAAGAACCTCATGATTCTACCAAAATTTTTATCAACAGCTGTTTAAAGTCTTTGTAGCGTTTAAAAAATATATATATATACATAACTGTTATGTAGTTCGGATAGCTTAGTTTTAAAAGACTGATTAAAAAACAAAAAGAAAAAAAAAAAAAGAAGCAATTTTGAAGCAGCCCTCCAGAAGGAGTTGGTTCTGTATTATTTGTATTAAATACGAGCTTGCGAACCAATCATTTTACATCTGGTTTTGAAACCATAAGGGCACGACGAATGCAGTGCCGTGACTTCTTTTTCTTCTGTGTGAAACAACTTTTATTGTGATGTTACTTGTTATTGTTTAAATGTACAGAAACAAAGGGTTAAAATGTGTTAATATACCTTGTTCCATGGTGTTGTTCTTTTGGGGGGAGGGGATGCTACTCAACAATTAATGGAATCACAACGCTGTTGGGCCAGTAGTATTTATTGCTTTAGAGATTGCTTGTCGAACCTGTATGTCATCCCTTTTAAAATATGTTTTCCTTTTTTCTTGAAACTGTATAAAATTTTTTTCCCCTTAGCATCAGCATCTTATATATAACAACTCATTTGTACAAGGTTTTTAAGTTTATATATAAAATGTGTATATATATATTTTTTGTTTCCCTTTTTGACTTTTTTTTTTCCCCTGTATGAAACCCAGATGCCGCCAAATGGACATGAATAGTTGCATTAAAGGATCAGTAGCATTAACAAAAGTTGCTTTAAAAGCCATTATGTAAAACAAGACTTGAAATTTAGTGAGGGAATTTTAGCGACGCTGTACGAGCAGCAGTGGGAACCATCCTGTTTCCCCTTTGAACTCGCAGTCGACTGTCCTACACCCTTCAGGATGTGGACTGACTGTGTGCAAAACTTTACGTGCCAAAATTCTCAGTGACTTTAGCTTTCTCCCTCTTTTTGATGCTGTAATTTTTGTTCATCATGTTTTGCTGTGATGTTACATAGGTAGATTTGTATGTAGTTTTAACGTCACCTATAACAAGATGTGTTTGGTAGCAGATTGTCCAGAAAGCATTTTAAATGAAGAGGTATAAACCCTTAAGGGCCAAAATTCTGTATATTAGATTACTCTTAAAGGAAAAACCAGCTGCCGCTTTTATGTACACGTACGACATACAAGTAGGTAGCAGACTTTAAAAATAAAAAAAACCTAGGCATGTTGATGTTGCAAAATGCTGTATAAAGCTGAAACCTGTTCATTCAGTGCCATTGTAGTTGACATGAAGCGATTGTAAAACTGTCTCCGATTTTTCTCTGGTTTATTAAGATGCTAACTATAACATTTTTTGTGAATACTTTGAATGTTTCCTAACAGTTGTGATGTTACTGTTCCGTTTTATGCTCTTATTCCAATTTCATTTTTAATGGTTTGGAAGCCATTTTTGTAATGAATAAATGTTCATGCTGTACAGTATCTGTAGCATGCCGTGCTGGATTAATAAAAGCAACTTAGTGTGTGCACATGAAGGCTGGTCACTCGTTTCTGTGATTTGGATTTTCTCTCTGGGGAAACTGGGTCTGTCCGCCTTCACCAAGAGAGACGGATAGCCAAGCTAGAACTTGAGACCGCATGGCTGGTATGGGCGGTAGGCGGCACTTAGACACGAAAAAGCGGTCTTGAACTCTTTCGAGGGGTGGTTGTCCCCCTCCCCATTCATAATGCATATTTGGCATATTTTGTGTACCTGTTTATTTCTGAAAGCAAAGCACAGTTGCAGAGCAAATGTCACTCTTCTGGCTGGTACAGAACAGCCCCTCCGATATGGTTTAGTCGTCCCTCTCAGTATAGAGCCCATTTAATTCTGGTTAATGAGAGTTTGTTCACCAAGAGTAGATTTAGGAAACCACATCATTCACATTTAAGGACCGTTGATGCGAAAGTATCCTAACTTCTTTCTAAGAGTTGCAGGCGGCTGAGGTGCCAGGTTGTCAGATTGGAACCCTTTTTATGGCAGTGAGCAGTTGTTGAGCAAGAAGCTGTTTAGAAAATCGGATCAAGATGATTCGCTTAGAGTTTTGTATGGAGGAGCCTCGCCATCTGTGGGACCCATGTTCTTTGGCTGTACTCTGGCCACGGTACCAGGTCATCATCCTCACCAACCAGGGGCCATGATAAAGATTTTCCTAAGGTTTTCGCAGCATTCATTTCTCAGGCCAACTAGGATGGTCAGATGTTGATGGTGGGTGTTCACTTATCCAGGACAACCAGACCTTCAGAGGACGTGCTTTCTGATGGGCGTGGAAGCTGCTCGTGGTGCCGTCATTGTTACTTACGATCACACGGTGTTGTCATCAGGACCCGAAGTCCCTCAGAAGCTCTGCTTTGTGGTAGCTAGTTCTCGTTGTGTAAAATTTCAGTATTTTGTTCATGCTTTTAGCTTTATGTTCCCAGGAAGGAATGATTCTGGTTGTCCTTCCCCATTTTATTTTGCACACTGGCCCCAGAGGGACCTTCGACATCACAAATAAGAACGTCTATTTGTGGCAGTGCACAGAGTGCCGAGCTGCTCATGTGCATTTTCTCATTTTATCCTAATACTGCCACCTGAGGTAGGTGTTATTCTCCCCCTCCACCCTCTGCTTTACATTCTGAAACTGGGGTTTGTGTCTTCTCCAAGGTGTCTTCTCCAAAGCTACACAGCATATAGGGTGGCGGAGCTGGGATTTAAATTCAGGTCTGACTCCAAACCTGTGTTCTTAAGGTGAAGTTATGCTTCCTTGCGTAATAAAGGCGGTCCTTCTCCGGAGTGATGGGACAGTTCTTTTGAAGGTTTCCTTGTTTGCTCTACCTCCTTCTCTGCCCACCTCCCCCCGCCCCGCTACTCACACAACCCCTGCAGCCAGACGAGAGGTCAGCCACCTCAGCGTTTTTGCTTTTCCACTTTCAAAGGTGCAGTTTCCCTCTGCCTGGAAGGTTCTGCTCTGCTCCTGCAGCCTCACTACCTGCTTCCTACCTGGATAACTTCCCCTCATCCTTCAGGCCTCGTGTAGACATCAGCATAGGCGAGGGGGGCGGGGTGCCTTCTCCCTCCCATGTGCTCTTCCAGCTTCCTGTTTTCCCTTCCCTTTAACACCCTCACCCACCGCCGTGTCGATGGATGTGACCTAGTTAGGCCACTAATAGCACCACTCAGTATTACTGACATCTTAGGCCAGATAATTCTTAGTGGTTGGGGGACAGTCCTGTGCATCGTAGGACATTAGTGTCCTTGGCTACTCCCTACTAGGTGCCACTAATGCTGCCCTCCCCGCCCCACACACGCCCCGCCAGTCACGACAACCAGGAATATTTCCAGACATTGCCAGATGTCCGCTGGGGTGCAGAATCACTCATGGTTGAGAACCATTCTAGGGAGCCCTCCAAGAGGACAGGATTGTAGCTCTTGTGTTCTCTGCTGTATACTATGGTCCTGATTCAGTGCCTGGTGCATAGAGGGTGTGCCATCTTGATTTATTGAAGGAAGGAGTAAGCAAAGTTGGTCAACTCAACACCTGTATCAAGGGAAGCAGGGGAATGGAAACTTTCCATGACGTTTCCAAATTTTGTGTTCTCAGAACTTCCAAGGTGTCAGTTACTTCCTTAATCCTTTCAGTCACGCTGGAATATAACTCAGTGCCCTTGTTACAGAGCAAAAAAAAAAAAAAAAGCCAGGTAGGAGTAGGGGCGGTCCCTCTGCCATCAGCCAGCCTGAGTGCAGATCTCTCAAATTCCAAAGATAGATCACCTAGCCACATGCTTACTACCCTGCAACATTTGAGCTATACTTTGGGGATCTTCTTTTCATCCTAATGTGGACCTTTTCCCCCCACGAGCTATCTCATTCTCGACAGTCCAGGTTCCAGTCTCCCCCATGCCAGGCCAAATCCTTGTCCTTCAACACTCTTGTGTACATAGGTTTGGTTTCTGAAGCCTTAAGAGTTTTATTTTCAAAATGAACCTCTTCCCACTACATCTTTGAAAAATGGATCTGTGGGGTTTTTGTTACTAAGAGACCCTAAGATAACATCTAGGAGCCCATAGTTCTCTCTCTGAGCCACTTCGTTTCTGACCTCTGATGGGACCTGGCCAAGTTAAGTTGGCGTATCAAGAGGGTGTGTTAGTTTGCTGTGGCTGCTATAACAAATTAACGCAAACTTGGTGGCTTCAGCCAACAGCTCTCACAGCTCTGGAGGCAGAAAGTCCAGAAGCCAGCGTGCGCTCCCTCCAGATGCTGGAGCCTCATCCCAGCCTCTGCTGGCCGCCTGCAGTCGGAGTGTACCTTGTAGCCACTTCACGCAGATCTCTGCCTCCGTCTTCACATCGCTGCCTCCTCTGTGCCTGTCCCCAAACTCCCTCTGCCTCTCTCTTATAGGACATGTGCGGTTGTATCTGGGGCCCACCAGGACGATCCTAGACAAGCCACTGTCTCTAGATTCGTAATCACGTGTTTTGCCATAAAAAATAATACAGGTTCTAGGATGAGGATGTAGACATATTTTAGGAGGCCACCTATAGAGGCACTTGCCAATTCTGGGACAATCGCAGAGTCTTTGCAAATAACAGAACCTTCCAAATTGGGCTGTTGGTGGTGGTTTTGGACGAGCCTGTGTGGAAAGTGATTATTAGAGGAGGCGGTTTTCCATTTCACATCATGGAAGGTTTGCCTCCCATTATGATGATGATAATGTGTGCAGGGTCAGGCCTTTTATCCAGAGTCAGGATTAATAGAGAGAGAAAGCATCTGGGAGCAATGGTGTGAACTTGAGCTTGGAAAATCCTCCACCCAACTCCCTCACTGTGTGTCCTCGGGTAATTCTTTCATCCCCTTGAGCCTCTGTTTCTTCAGCTAACAAGTGATACCAATAGTACTTGTTTTGACATTCTTATGAGGGCTAGAATGCAGAGTGCCCGGAAGAGTAAATTATAGAAGTGTTTATTATCATAAAAGCATAAAGCCAGTCACAACTTCGTTTTCCGTATTTCTCTAGGATTCTGCTAGTCCAGCTCTTCAAATCCAGGTTAGAGAATCCCAGAGATCTCGACACATCCTCATTGTAGAGTTGAGTGACACTATTCCTGGGATGCTGTGACTCTCCCATGATCATCTTACCTGAAACTTCATGACCCTATGAAAATGTCTTCCACCGTTTGGGGATCTGCAGCTCTGGCTAGGGTGCTTTTGTGATACAGAAATGTGTTTTTAATTAAAGTCCTTTGGAAAGAAATTATGGAATAACGTTCAAGTGTTATGAACAGTGCCTCAAGGCGAGGGCCAGAACCCGGAGGTGAAAATTACTAATAAACAGGTTTGATTTTCTAAAGGAGTCTCATCAGGGGTTGGCTTCTTCATCTCCCATTTCAGATCAAGGCCAGCATGTCACGATGGCAGAGGCCTACAGGAATCCTGGCATAAGTCTGAGGGACGGGCAGCATTGGCGAATTCTGGCTTTGGAGCTCATGATTTTTTTAAAGCTGGCACTTTGTGAGTTCATTTGATGGAAGCTGTGAGTAAGCACAGTGATTGATTCATTCATTCAACAACCATTTCTTGAACACCCATTTGCACCTGGTACTGTGCTAAGCACTGGCACATAGGTCTGGGTGAAGTCAGCTTAGTCTTTATTTTTCCCTCCAAGCTCAGTCTTGCACCATCTTATATATGACCACATCTTTAAGGAAAGGGGCCACCATCATTTCTGTGTCTTGAACAAGCTGCTCACCTGGAAAGTGGCTTTATACAAGAACAATGACAAGAGGATGTGCTAAAAAGCTCTACCTGTGTTTCTCATTTAAACCTCAGGGGGAGAGAAATTGCTTTTATGTTCATTTTACAAATGGAAAAAATGAAGCTGAGAGAGGTTAAGTGGCTTTCTCAGGGCACATATGTGGGAAGCAGGAAGCCTAAGACTGAACTTAAGCAGCCCAGCTCGGGAGCCTGCGTAGCTGAAAACTATGCCATACTGCTCCTTGGGGAGACAGACCATCTGAACAGCCAGACAGGACAGAGGGTGGAGCCACTTCGATCCATGGCTTTTGCTCTGAGACCACGAGGTGTTCTCCATCTGTGTGCAGTATTTTTCTCATTCTGGTTTCTTTGAAAGTAATAACAATAAAACCAGCTGATAATTACAAGGATTGAGCTATTTTAAACTCAGTGCTAGAAGTTGTAGAATCCTAGATTTAGAAGAAAATTAGAAGTATATGTATGATAATATTGTATATACATATTATATATGTTTCTCAGATTCGGGTTACAACCCATTGATAAGTCAGGAAATCATTTAATGGATCAAGGCCAGCATTTTAAAAAACGGAACATGGAATAAAATAGAAAATCTGATCTATTGGTTTGCCCCTTCTGATATTTCAGCTTAAATGAGTTCTCCTGTGTCATTCAGAGTAGGCTAGACTATGCTGCAAACCAACCCTAAAATATTGAGAGCTTAACAAAGTTTACTTCTCAGACATCACAGGGAAATCTTCCAGC